GGGCTAGGAATGGGGAAAAAATAAGAACCAAGATGCATTATGTAAAGGTACAATTCCCAATGAGAAATGTAATTGTGTTCTATACCTACAATGTATCAATAAAAGAATTTAATACAAAAAAATAATTTTAATTTGGAATAGTAGAGGAGAGGAGAGAAAACTCGATGCATGCAGGCAGAGTTGGGTGAGACAGACTGGAGAACATTGCCTGGCACTGATCTCAAGCCACCCTCGCCATCACCACTCTACCACCCTGGCCTCAGGGCTGTGGCCTCAGGCTGGCCCCCACCTCAGGGCTCTGCTTGTGCCACTCGTGGGTCTCACCTCACCCTATCCCTGCCAACCCCCTTCCCACCGCACCTCCTGCCCATGTCCTCCTGGCCACCACTCTTCACAACCCTCTCCACCCCATCATCCTTAAAATTCTCCCGTAGCAGCTATCGCTGCCTCAGTTTCTACTGCAATGCCCATTTACTTATCATTGGTCTCAGTCAGAAGAAGATGCCCCCCAAGAGACTTGGGGCTGAGAGTCTGGATGCCAATGTCTGCAATAATGGAGGGTAGCACAAAGCGGCTTCTTGATGAATGTTTGTGAGGTGGATGAATCAATGCATGAAGAGGTTGCCTGAATTTCTGCTCCCCAGAAGCTAAGAGGAATCTCTGTTTTTTTCCTATCTACATAATTTATAGCCAATCTAAGTCAGCATTAATTCTTTCAAATATATCCATCAAATGCCTACCATATTTCAGGTACTGAGAACACAATAATAAATAAGACATATCTGCCCACATACTTTGCAATTAATGATCAGCTCCAGCACCTCTGAAGCATTTGAGTCCTATGGTAAAATCACTTTATAAAAAAATGTATTTCTATTTTGTATTCTGAGTATCTTTTTACAATATCATAATCATGATATTCATAAATTAGGAGTTATCTATCATGCACTAGGAAGAAAACTGTTATCATATATACAGAAGAATTTTTCATCAATGTGAAAAGCTTTCTCAAAGTCCTAATGATATCCTTCTTCAAGTCCCCAAAACATCAGCCTTCAGAGATGCAGGGGGCTAAAAGCTGGGTGATGTTTAAGTATGTGGAACCGTCTAGTTCCCTGAAGTGGTGTGGCCTATAGACTTCCCTTCCTAGCCAACTGAGACACGAGACAGCACCCTGAGGCACAGAAGGACTCTGAAGGAGCCCACCAGCTAGAAATCCCCAGTGTATCTGTCCTCTTTCTTAGGTGTCCCAGGTCAGCCCTGGCTGACGGATGCTCCAGGCACAGATGGTCTTTAGTCTTTCTCATTTCTCCCACTTTGTGGCCAGATGCCTTGCCCACATGCTGAGCAAGAAGACCTGAGAATTAACATAGCCTATACATTTGTACAGCGTGGTACAACTGACTTTCTCATCCACTTTCACATTTGCAGGAAAGATAATATAATCTTGTTCCTATAAATTAACCAATTAAAGTTCAGAGGTTCAGCGACTTAGCAAAGCTGCAACTTGCCCCACTGTCTGTATTATTCACTTTCCCTTGGCTGGGACAAAATATTCCATAACACAATTTAAAAAAGGAGAGGCTTATTTTGGCTCACAGTGTTTTAGAGAATTCCGTCCATGATCAGCTGGCTGTCAGGCAGAAAGAACATGGTAGAAGGGCCTGGTGGAAGAAAGCTGTCGAGCCCATAGGCCTCACTTCCGAACGGCACATTCATCTAGGGACTTATCACCAGATGAATCTACTGCTGATTAGAGCAGCCCCAAGACCCAGTCACCTTCCACACACAGGAGACTATGGTGGGGACATTTTAGATCCAAATCCTAACAAGATCCTCTCATCGCAAGTTTGGAAATGGAAATTACAGGTGAAAGTTAGGCGGGGGGGGGTGCTGTTTTGGGGTGTTAATTCTCACTGGTATCGAACTTCACATACAGAGCTGGCAACATTGCAGCCTGAGCAAACACAAACAAGCTGCAATTCAATGCCTACTTGGATACACACCCTGTCCTTGTTTCCTCCCTCACCCCAGTCCCCATGATTCCATGAAGCCCGATTCCTAGAAAGTTTTTAGACTTGAGCAAACTTTAGAGTGGGCCACAACGAAATTACAGTCTTGTTCTGTCTTTTAACAGTGCACCTAGACGTGATCTCCTTCCTCCCTCAGAACTCCTCCTTATTGAGCAGCCTTGTACCACAGCATGAGGCAGGGAATCTGGAAAGACCCATGCGACATTGGGGTTATCGCCACCCTAAACTTGTTCCCTCTGCCCTACTTTACCACACACTGGTCTTAGGTCAGAGCTTAAAGCAATAAGATCAAGAGCAGCACAAATTAACAATAGAGATAAAGACTCCAGGAAGAGATTTTAAGGAATTTTTGGTCCACACCACTATGTTCCAAAGGGTTTATCTATGAGTGTGGTTAATATCTGAATTGTCATCCCATTAAGGCAACTCAGAAAGGTACAGCTATGCTGTATTTTATTATCATTCAGGTACAAGGAGATGTGGTGATATATACCTGTAATCCCAGCACTCTGACAGGTAGAAACAGGAGGATCCCAAGTCTGAGCCCAGCCTGGGCAATTTGGCAAAATCTTTCCTCAAAATAAAAATTTTCTAGAAAGGGATGGGGATATACATCACTAGGAAGATCCTAGGTTCAATCTTCAGTACAAAAAAAAAGATTAAGTTCCTTCAAAGTACCATTATTTCAAAAGAATTTCAGGGCTTTTACTTCCTTACAAAGAGCATGCATGTGCTAAGGGGAAGAGCACCAACCTCTGTCCAGAGTCCTCCTGTCTGTCTTGTTCACTCCCCACCTCCCAGCATGGCTTGGTTAAACCAATACATGGATGCTGCTACCTCCTACCTTAGCTTCCTTGGAGTACTAGTGTGTGGCTCTGTCCTCTGGTCCCCCATCTGATGTCCCACGTGGGAGAGACACTGACTCTCCAGCAATCAGGGAAACTTGTCTTCTCTAGTTTCCTGGGTTCACCTGAGCTGGAGGTCAGTTCTTGGCAGGGGCAGGTCCTCGGAGCCAATAGACTAGAAACAGCAAAGTGCAAGGCAGAGAGGGAGCCCAGCCCCAAATAGAAACCCAGGGTATTCCCCAATCTGACCAAGCTTCCAAAGTGCTGAATGTGCCCTAGGAGATGAGACAGGGAGAATGAGAGAGGAGATGAGAATGTGACTTGTTGGAAATTGGGAATTATAAAAAGAACACTCACCTACAACCCTCAGTGGTCACCCTGCAAACAAGAATGGTGCAACAAATTTCATAGGAAGGAGCATTTAAGTGTAAGACCTTTAACTTTCTAGGGACAAGTGCATCCAGCTTACTACTACATGGTGTATTCTACTGAGACAAAGAGCAATGAATGATTATATTTCATGTGACAGAGGGGGAAGTGAGTGATGAGCTTCAGACCAAAAAGCCATAGGAATGCAAAAATATAGCCAACAGCGACAGAGCAAAAAACTATTCTCTGCCTGACCCCAACCTTCTCCTGACCCAAAAGAGAGCACCTTGTTCAAGGTGGGTATTATCTTGGTGGACAGCTAGACATTTCTCTCTCTGCTTATGGAGCTGGCATCTTGGTCGCTATATGAAGAATTATCCATTAGGAAGCAAAGGAGTCAAAGGCTAAGCAGAGAGATGCAGCAGACATCTGAGCCTCCCCTAGACAATGAAAATCAGAAAGGAGAAGCAGAGAAAGACGCAAGTCAGAGGGAAAGGAAAAGGAGATGAGGTGGAGGATTCCCGAGGAAATGGCTTGTCTTTTTCTACCCAGAGCCTCCAGGGAGGAAGATATATCACTATCAACCTAGCATGGCAACATTCAAAATAAAAGAGGCACCTGCCAGGTGACCATCTCTGCCGGGACTCGAACCCGGAACCTCTGGATTAGAAGTCCAGCGCGCTCGTCCATTGCGCCACAGAGACCTCACCACACACACAGCATCAGCACCAGAACTGAAAAAGCACATACCTTCTGCATCACGGAACCATCTCAGCATCCTGCTCTCTGAACGGTGGGGGGACAGGGACAGCTGGAAAATCTGGAGTGGAAATCCACCAGCCGGCTCCTTCAAAGCTTTGCTCAATACCGCGGGTCCTAGGATTTTCAGAGGATTGGAGGAATGTGACAGTGGTCATTTTCCCAGCCCCAGAATCCCAGAGGGAGAAGGACAGAGCTGCAGCCTGGCCTCTTCTTTCCTGTCCATCCTTAAGGGAGGGCACGGGAAAGTCTCTCTATTCTCATGCAAATGAAGCAGAGCACACCCAGCCTGGCAGACGTGCAGAAACCATCTCCCTCTCCACCCCCTCTCCCTTGCTGTGGTTCCATCCCAGGCCAGCTATTCTCAGACAGGGGCTGGGCAAAGCTAGGGGATTTGGAAAAACCCTGGATCCCAGAGACAAAGGAGCTGCTTCTGCAAGGAAAAACTGAACAGGGGCAGAGAGAGGCAGGAAGCTCGGCTCCAGGCAGGAGACTTATCAGGCTCTGGGGTTTAGGAATTGTTATCTGTCAAACCCAGAAAACAGGAACCCAGACTCTCAGCGGATGCTCCTTCAGCATTTGCGCTAGAATTAAGGACAGGAGTGGACCCAGAACAGTGTAGAGAGAGAGAGAGTGTGTGTGTGTGTGTGTGTGTGTGTAGGGGGAAAATACAGAGAGGGAGGGAGGCGGTGGCTCTCTGATGAAAAACAAGTGGCCCTCACACAGCACACATACCCCCATACCTGGGTCCCTTTCTCCCACCTCCCCCAGCCCCAGGTCCTTGCCATTCTTTCTTCCTAGGGCTGCCTAGTTAAGAGCAGGAGGACTTCTCAGCTCTCTGGCCTTGCTAGAGGTACCCTAATACAAGTAAATTAGCCATTCTTCCAAAACCATACATAGAGACCTCCACATCCTGCTCAGGTCCAAGAAAATGTCTCCTACTTTTAAAAGCCTTCTGGAGAAGACAATTCCAAAATCACTGCTGGGCCAGTTCTTCTGCGTGTCTAACCCAAGTCCCCCTTACCCCACCTTTGGCTCATTTTCTCCCATTAGATTCCCAGACACACTGGGATAACTGACCTCTATGCTCCCAATGACAATGTATTGATTTAAAGACTTGATTCAGGGTTCACTGCCCCACTCCCACTCAGAAGGTTACAATAAGCAGAGAGCTGGCTCAGCCTCCCTTCCTCCCGGCTACAGTCTGTTTCCAGAGCCCACAGCTCTGAACACAGCCAGCAGATTCCAGAATAACCCAAGGCAGTCCCACCTGTGAGACCAGGTGATGGGCAAGTGAAGGTGCAACAGGACTCCTCGAAGTGCTTGGACTGGAAGGACTTTAAGGACACTTCTAATTCTAAGACTATAACAGTACAGCACACTTCCCTCCCTATTCCTATAGCCCCAGCATGAGACCTGAGAGCAAAATGGCCAAGGTGATTCACTGAAGTGCAAGCAGGGGACAACCACCAGGAGAAAAGAGCCTCCTCCAAGCAAGCCTGCCTCCCCCAGAGCTCAGAAGAATGAAGCCAATGTGTGTATTATAAACCTAAAACAAGGAGGAGTGGAGTAGGTCTTTCGTAACTCACTGTGCCACACAATTTCAAGGACTTGAAACAAAGAACTGAACATCAGCCAGAGACTGTGCTGTTCTGCATGACTACTGACAAGAAGCAGGTGCAGGGCCAGTGTGTCTGTAAAGGACAGAGCAATGCCAAAGGCCACGAAGGAGCCACTCTGATGCAAAGGACAGGCAATGCTAGACTATCAGGGTGCTTCTCCCCAAGCTGTGTGCATTTACACACACACACACACACACGCACTCACACAAGGCCCACAACCTCTGTTCTTCACAAAGAGACTGTCCTATTCCCAAGAGATGTATCAGTCCCTTAGCTATGCCCAAATCTTTGTGCCTCTTAGATCAAATGCTCTCCACAAGCTGAAGGCAGAGACCCAGCCCTCCAACTTCCTCCACCAGCTTTATTCACGGTTTGTAGTATTCTCAGTGGGTGCTGGGGATATCACAGAAAAGGATAAATAATGGCCTGGCCTCACCTTCTAAGATCCTGTAAGTAAATCTCAATGCAAAATGACTTTGAAAGATGTATGGGAGAAAAGAAAGACTCACTATTGTCCACCAAATAAGGTGTTCAAGTCTAAACAAAGACCATAACTCTGGAAGCACAAAGATTCGGCATCAATAACAAGCTCTCTGGCTTATGTGCCTGGAGACTCTGAGGAAACTTGTTAACTTCTCTGATCTTCTATTTCCTCATTGTAAGCATGCGGCAAAAATATAAGCTATTGTTAAATACTAGCTGAGATTTTATGGGGCAAAGTGCTTATCACCTTCTTCCTCTAGTCCACAAGTTATAACTCTCAACCATATCTCCTGGGTCACTTCCTTCTCTTTGAATGACCTCCCTTCAATTTCCTCTCATGACCCCATACAAATCTCTCCATTAGACCAAAAAATATCTTCTGCCAATAAGTCTTTTCAGAACTCCTTATACTTACAAGCTGCATCAACAAAAATACTCTGGACTTGATCTCTCTGACATCTCTTATTTTGCTTCAGCGTCCACAAATCAAACAAGCTTCTTCACAGTATGAATAATATCTCATAACTAGGTTTTCAATTTAAAAATAAGGAGGGAAACAAATTAAGCTATAACTTTACAGGGGCAGGAAAGATGAGGTTAAGCCAGTCAAAATGGTTGAAGATAGTGCATCTTTTTCTTCTTTTAAACTAGGTATATGTCATTCCTGTTTATGTAAACCCTTAAGAAGAGGATAAGTACATTTCCCTTCCAAAAAAAATGTTCACTGATTCAATTCTCCAAAGATCTGTGACTCAAACATTACTCATGCCTCTAATTGAATACCATTCTGTGACCCTACAGACAAGCTGGTGATGCTCATACATTATTTCATTCATAAGGTGTTGCTGGGATACATATGATAAATGCCAAAAAAACATTTCCCCCTTTGGTCCAGAAACAAACAAAATTAAATCCTACATCCCACAGTGGCCTTGCAGCTTTCATGAAGCTACTAATACTAAGTTTTCCATACTTTAATTGCTAAGGGAGAGTACTGGAATAAGGCGGAACATAGTTATTTGGGTAGCACAGCTCTTAGACACTATACTTTCATCTCCCAGTCCCTACAACACCCCCAAACCACATCAATTCATATCCAGTATGGGCACACACACATCATTTACAAGTGGTTTCCATATAGCATGTTTCCATGACCCACTTACTGTGAGCTCCTTCTTACTGCTGCCCCCTAAAAGTTATCCCTCCTCATTGCTCCTGCAAGCACCTCCTCTGAAGGCTGAAAAAAGGTACTACACTTTGCCATGTCAGGCCCATGGTGTTAAGCCTGCCATGTAGACTTTCAGGTGATGAGAGTTCATAACCCCTTACCCTTGAAAGAAGGGTAAAACAGACACACCTACAACACAAAGGCTCTTCTTTTCCAGATAATCCCATCCCGTGGGATCCTGTCCCATGTCTCATGCTCATTTGTCTATTCCTCCCATGCATTTTGGTACCGATCACCATAAGCATTTATGTTCTCAAAGCCTCCTATTTCCCTCCTTCCTTAATCCCTGAGGCTAGATACAGATTGTTTGTTCCTTTCCTTTTTCTATTCTCTGAGAAGGAGGAAGTGAGATAACCCAGGTGATAATTAAACCTGAGAATCAAACAGAAGGAAATCAAACACACACTGAATTTTCCTTTATTCATTGTATCCAACTTTGAGAAACCATCCAGGTCTATCTCAGCCCAGATGAGCTAAGCAGACCTCTCAAGCCTTTCCAAAAGCAGACCCAGAACCAAACTACCTTGACAAGGCGCTGAATGTCCAGTCTCATCAAGGTCACAGTAGAGACCTCACAGGGATCAACCCCCACCCATGGAAGTCCAAGAAATGGTCTTCTCCAGATTTCTTTTCTCCTACTTCTGCCAGCATTCTCTAGGAAACATCCCAGAATATTCTAGAAAGTAAGTCTCCAATTATATGAATTTTCTCTTTGGTCAAGAAAGATGAGGAAGTTAGTGATGTTTAATACAGGAAAGGGCAGTGGTTGTCATGTTCCACCAGGTCTCTCTGAGAATTTCGGAAGAAACTTTCTCTCTGCTTCACCCAGACCTTCCTCTTTACAATGAAGGCTCTCTACATCTCTGTTTCTAACCCCAATCCATTACCTTTCTGTGTGTTCAAGTCCCTAGTCCCGTTGTCTTACAGTTGCATCTTGCTGGCCCCATGAATTTCTCCTTCCTCAGGATGCATAACCCTCAGTAATTTCTTGCTTTAACATGTTTAAAATCTTCCTTTCATCTCTGTCCACGTGTCTCCTTGTTCATGTCCATTTCACTTATCCTCACATTCTGCAGGTAGCATTCCCTAATCCTTTTACCTTCCAGACACTCTTCACAATGTTCAATTTCTTGGCCATATTCCGTCTGTCCTCATCTGCCTCAGGATCCATCTACTCCAAACATACTTGTCTAAACTCCTGTTTCTGGTCTGCCCAGCCTTGGCCTACTGTCCTTTTCAATTTCTTTTCCCACCCCTCCACATCATCCTTAAGGGTCCTGAGTGTCCTAGTCCTGCAGATTTCTCTTCCATTATATTCTACTGCTTGCTCCCAGAGATGTAGATACTGTCAACCCTTTGTCCTCAGGCCTTCCTTTTACTTCCTCCAGATTTTATGATCCAGATTTCTTTACTCACCCTCCAGCCTTTTAGTTCTGGTCTCCTCTCCATCTTAAGTCTCCACTTTGTAGGACCTGTTCTGAATCTCCTTCCACCCGATTCCTCCAGCTTGTCCAGAATGACCTCCTGCTCCTTCCCTTCTTCCCCATATTTACCTCCAGACACCTTAGGCTCTCCCTGCATCTACAGCATGCCTGCATCTACTTGGCTTCTTTGTCTAGGACTCTGCACACCACAGGCTTGTAAGCTGGGAGGCCCTGCGTAGAGCCTTGCTGATCCCCACAGCACTGGGATGGGCTCACAAACAGGGTTCTTACTCTGTACAATCACTATGGGACCCTAGACCTTAAAGAGCCAGCTACCCTAGGGTATGGGCCAAAAAACTAGAAATAGATCCTTAAAGAATCTACAGTTAGATTAAAGAGATTTAAAAGCATTGGCATTGACTAACACTATGAGAAAAGTGGGTTTTGCTTCCCACGGCTCCACTCATACTCAGCCCGGAAGGAGCCTTACAGTGAACATAGTAAAGTAGACTCCACAATAGGAGCAGAAGAGTATTTT